ACGCTCGTCGGATGTGGCAGGGCTTGAAAACTATTACATACTACAAAGGGAAGCACAGCCGCGAGCTGCCCAGTGACACAAGCCTACCAGACGAGCTAAACCACTTCTATGCTCGCTTCGAGGCAAGCAACACTGAAGCATGCATGAGAGCACCAGCTGTTCCGGATGACTATGTGATCACGCTCTCCGTAGCCGATGTGAGTAAGACTTTTAAGCAGGTCAACATTCACAAGGCCGCAAGGCCAGACGGATTACCAGGACGTGTACTCCGAGCATGTGCTGACCAACTGGCAAGTGTCTTCACTGACATTTTCAACATGTCCCTGACTGAGTCTGTAATACCAACATGTTTCAAGCAGACCACCATAGTCCCCGTGCCCAAGGACTCTAAGATAACCTGCCTAAATGACTACCGACCCGTAGCACTGACGTCTGTAGCCATGAAGGGCTTTGAAAGGCTGGTCATGGCTCACATCAACAGCATTATCCCAGAAACCCTAGACCCACTCCAATTTGCATACCGCCCCAACAGATCCACAGATGATGCAATCTCTATCGCACTCCACACTGCCCTTTCCCACCTGGACAAGAGGAACACCTACGTGAGAATGCTATTCATTGACTACACCTCAGCATTCAACACCATAGTGCCCTCTAAGCTCATCACTAAGCTAAGGATCCTGGGACTAAACACCTCCCTCTGCAACTGGATCCTGGACTTCCTGAAGGGCCGCCCCCAGGTGGTAAGGGTAGGTAACAACACATCTGCCACACTGATCCTCAACACGGGGGCCCCTCAGGGGTGCGTGCTCAGTCCCCTCCTGTACTTTCTGTTCACCCATGACTGCATGGCCAGGCACGACTCCAACACCATCATTAAGTTTGCCGACGACACAACAGTGGTAGGCCTGATCACCGACAACGATGAGACAACCTATAGGGAGGAGGTCAGAGATCTGGCCGTGTGGTGCCAGGACAACAACCTCTCCCTCAACGTGACCAAGACAAAGGAGATGATTGTGGACTACAGGAAAAAAAATAGGACTGAGCACGGCCCCCATTCTCATCGACGGGGCTGTAGTGGAACAGGTTGAGAGCTTCAAGTTCCTTGGTGTCCACATCACCAACGAACTATCATGGTCCAAACACACCAAGACAGTCGTGAAGAGGGCACGACAAAGCCTATTCCCCCTCAGGAGACAAAAAAGATTTGGCATGGGTCCTCAGATCCTCAAAAAATTCTACAGCTGCACCATCGAGAGCATCCTGACTGGTTGCATCACTGCCTGGTATGGCAACTGCTTGGCCTCCGACCGCAAGGCACTACAGAGGGTAGTGCGTACGGCCCAGTACATCACTGGGGCAAAGCTTCCTGCCATCCAGGACCTCTATACCAGGCGGTGTCAGAGGAAGGCCCTCAAAATTGTCAAAGACTCCAGCCACCCTAGTCATAGACTGTTCTCTCTGCTACCGCACGGCAAGCGGTACCGGAGTGCCAAGTCTAGGTCCAAAAGACTTCTCAACAGCTTCTACCCCCAAGCCATTAGACTCCTGAACAGCTAATCATGGCTACCCGGACTATTTGCACTGCCCCCCCACCCCATCCTTTTTACGCTGCTGCTACTCTGTTAAGTATTTATGCATAGTCACTTTAACTCTACCCACATGTACATATTACCTCAACTACCTCAACTAGCCGGTGCCCCCGCACATTGACTCTGCAACGGTACCCCCCTGTATATATAGCCTCCCTACTGTCACTTTATTTTACTTCTGCTATTTTTTTTCTTTTTTTTTCTCAACACTTTTTTTTTGTTGTTGTTTTATTCTTACTTTTTTTTGTTTAAAATAAATGCACTGTTGGTTAAGGGCTGTAAGTAAGCATTTCACTGTAATGTCTGCACCTGTTGTATTCGGCGCATGTGACCAATAAAATTTGATTTGATTTGATTTGACTAGGATCACCCAGCCACATAATTAATACACACAGGCACAAACGACCTGAGAACACAGCAGGAAAGGGTGGCCACAGCACTCAAGGGGGTGATAGAAAAAGCTTCTACTTTCCCCAACGCACAAGTGGTTATCTCAACCCTGCTACCACGAAAATACTTCCACCCTGCTACCATACAGCGGGTTTTGACTGTGCATCAAAACCAAATGTCTACCTGGCCCACCACTCCACCCTGGACGTGAACAGCCTTAATGACCAGGTCCACCTATACAAGGCAGCAGTGCCCACCTTCGCCCGGACCCTAAAGGATATCGCCCTCAACTGCAGACCCAACACCTCACACAGGAGCAACAGATCAACAGACACCCCCCCCCCCCCAGGACCTACACATAGAGGACCCCCGCAGAGAGGACCTATATCCAGACCACAGCACCATCAGCCACATCTACACTCCCCCCCAAGTCAACCATGCCCACACCCCATTTAGGCCCCCTCAGATCAGACCTATGCCGCTCCTACCCACCCCAAGCCCCCCACCCCCACAAAGAGGGCTTCAACATGAAAGTCACACATACACCCAGGCCGTGAGCAGGCAAAAAGGCCCAACACTGCCTCTTACACTAGCCCAAGCCAATGGCATGTACCAGATGCTCAGCAGGCTCTGCTCACAATTACTGGCCTGAGGCCAAACCACACGACCAACAACATTAGACACTTTATGGAACACAAAGCCTTCACTATTTCATCCTGGAATATCCAAGGCCTGAGGTCATCTGCCTTTGGCCTAAAGAGCAGGAATCTGGACTTCACCAAAGAAATTGGAATCCTACAAGAAACATGGTATAGAGGAGACGGACCCACTGGTTGCCCTCTAGGTTACAGAGAGCTGGTAGTCCCATCCACCAAACTACCAGGTGTGAAACAGGAAAGGGACTCAGGGGGTATGCTAATTTGGTATAGGTCAGACCTAACTCACTCTATTAAATTAATCAAAACAGGAACATTTTACATTTGGTTAGAATTTCAAAAGGAAATTATCTCAACAGAGAAAGATGTCCTCCTGTGTGCTACCTATATCCCCACGCTAGAATCCCCATACTTTAATGAAGACAGCTTTTCCATCCTGGAGGGGGAAATCAATCATTTCCAGACCCAGGGACATGTACTAGTCTGTGGCGACCTAAATGCCAGAACTGGACAAGAACCTGACACCCTCAGCACACAGGGGGACAAACACCTACCTGGAGGTGACAGCATTCCCTCCCCCATATGCCCTCCTAGGCATAACTACGACAACATAACCAACAAAAACGGGTCACGACTCCTGCAGCTCTGTCGCACACTGGGTATGTACATAGTCAATGGTAGGCTTCGAGGGGACTCCTATGGTAGGTACACCTTTAGCCAAAGGAACTGAATAATATTAAGAAATGCTATAGATGGAAGGAAAGTTGTGTTGAAACCTACCAAAAAAACAATTAGGCAAAACAAATTCAATCCATTCTAGACAACTTCCTGGACAAAACGTTCCACTGTAATAGTGAAGGTGTAAACTTGGCAGTAGAAAACCTAAACAGTATATTTGACCTCTCAGCTTCCCTATCAAATCTAAAAATCTCTAACAGAAAACCGAAGAAAAGTAACAACAGTGATAAATGGTTTGATGAAGAATGCAAAAACCTAAGAAAGAAATTGAGAAACCTATCCAACCAAAAACATAGAGACCCAGAAGACCTGAGCCTACGCCTTCACTATGGTGAATCACTAAAACAATACAAAGAATTCGAAAACAAACCCAATTTTGATAAACTCCCTTATCTACTGGGTGAAAAACCACAGTGTGCCATCACAGCTGCAAGATTTGGGTCCTGTTGCCACAAGAAAAGGGCAACCAGTGAAGAACAAACACCATTGTAAATACAACCCATATTTATGTTTATTTATTTTCCCATTTGTACTTTAACTATTTGCACATTGTTACAACACTGTATATATACATAATATGACATTTGAAATTTCCTTATTCTTGGGAACTTCTGAGTGTAATGTTTACTGTTAATATTTATTTCACTTTGTTTACTAACTACTTCACTTGCTTTGGCAATGTTAACATACTTTCTTCCCATGCCAATAAAGCCCTTAAATTGAATTGAGAGAGAAGAAGAGAGAGAGAGAGAGAGAGAGAGAGAGAGAGAGAGAGAGAGAGAGAGGCGAGAGCGATAGAGAGAGAGAAGAGATCAGAGAGAGAGATATAGAGATAGAGCTCCTAGGATAGATCCCAGACTCTAATCTAGCTCGAAGAGCGAGAGAAGAGATCCCTCTCTCGCTCTCTCTCTCTCTCGCTCTCTCTCCGCTCTCGCTCTCTCTCTCTCTCTCTTTGGAGACTCAGAGAGGCTCTCTGTCCCCCGTAGAAGAGTGGATTAGCTGACAGAAAAGAAAGAGAGGGGGGGGTGTTATGATGAATTTCTCAGGTATCAAGTAATTCATGATGCAAGAAGACATTTAACACTTAGATGGAGAGTTCATACAAATATGTAATATTCGGTACCGGGTTCATCTAACAAAAGGCGCGTGCTTTGCCTCTTGCCATTCGAACTACTGAACAAAGAAAACTTCTCAGTTTATACATCTCATGTGACACGTTTCTTCAACAACATCTGTTAACCACCATTTGGCACTCCCTTCTTTACATTTACATTTAAGTCATTTAGCGACTTACAAATTTGATGTTATTACCTTGTACCCCAAGTCAGTATATCACGTCCATCAATCATTTTAAGATAAACCTCAGTAAGCTCACTCGACATAATAGAATCCTTGTTATTCAGCCTGTGCGGCGCCCAGATTCACTTATCTACTAAATTTAACCTGGTTCCTACAACACTATGAAATGACATCATCACAGGGTAGGAGAGGGGCAGCAGAGCGCCTCGAGAGCAAAAAACAAGTTGTGAACAAAACAACAGGTTGAGCTAATCAGAGGATGAGGTCATGGGCTAGATCAGGCGCCTTCTGCCAAGGAGGTTGCGGAGAAGTGGGAACGTACTGTTTTTGGCACAAAGCTGATGTCGAGGAGGTTGGTGGCTCCGCTGGTGATCTGGGTGTTGAGGAAGATGATGTTGTCCTTCAGAGAAAACTTCCTCACCGCCGTCTCAGAGGTGGTCGCCGACAGAGAGTCAGACTGGATGGGGACGGACAGACGGACACACACACACACGATACACACAGACATACAAAGACACACATGCACAGGCAGATACACACATCAAATCAAACACTACATATCAATAATAACATACATATTGAAGCATATGTCATACATTTAAAAAACACACTGAGTATACCAAACATAAGGAACATCTTCCCTCAGAACAGCCTCAATTCATCGGGCCATAGACTCCACAAGGTGTCGAAAGCGTTCCACAGGGATGCTGGCCAATGTTGACTCCAATGCTTCCCACTGTTGTGTCAAGTTGGCTGGATGTCCTTTGGGTGGTGGACCATTCTTGATACACACAGGGAACTGTTGAGCGTGAAAAACCCAGCAGCGTTGCAGTTCTTGACACAAACTGGTGCGCCTGGCACCTACTACCATACCCCGTTCAAAGGCACTTAAATATTTTGTCTTGCCCATTCACCCTCTGAATGGCACACATACACAATCCATGTCTCAATTGCCTCAAGGCTTAAAAATCCTTCTTTAACATGTCTCCTCCCCTTCATCTAAACTGATTGAAGTGTATTTAACAAGTGACATCAATAAGGGATCATATCTTTCACCTGCATTCACCTGGTCAGTCTATGTCATGGAAAGAGCAGGTGTTCTTAAATGTTTGTTTTTTCCACTCAGTGTATATACACAAGACACATAACACTAGACTGCAGTACGTTTTTAACCATGAAGAGGAAATAACATAATCCCACAACCAGGTAGTTATTTACTTTAGGAGCTGCTTGATTGGCTGGTTTGGGTTTGGCTCCTCCTTTCCCCTTCCCCTCCTTGGACTTGGGGAGGCTGTCAAACTTGTCCTGGACCAGATCCCTTATCCTGATGTCTCCATATGCTCTGGCAATGTCCAGACAATTCTTCTCTGAAATGAGACCACAGCATTTTTAATTGAAACCATCAAATTCAAATCAAATTTTATTTTGTCACATGCGCCAAATACAACAGGTGTAGACCTTACAGTGAAATGCTTACTTACAAGCCCTTAACCAACAATGCAGTTTTAAGAAAGAATAGCCCCCCCCCCCCCCCCCCCCGCAAAAAATCACAAAACAATACAATACAATATAAAATAATACCAAATTAAAGTAATAATTAAATACCAGCAGTAAAAATAACAATAGCGAGGCTATATACTGGGGGAACCGGTACCGAGTCAATGTGCGGGGGCACCGGTTAGTTGAGGTAATATGTACATGTAGGTAATAATATGCCATTTAGCAGACGCTTTTATCCAAAGCGACTTACAGTCATGCGTGCATACATTTTTGTGTATGGGTGGTCCCGGGGATCGAACCCACTACCTTGGCGTTACAAGCGCCGTGCTCTACCAGCTGAGCTACAGAGTTATTAAAGTAATTATGCATAGATAATGAACAGAGAGTAGCAGCAGTGTAAAATAAGGGGGGGGGGGGGGGCAATGCAAATAGTCCGGGTAGCCATTTGATTAGATGTTCAGGAGTCTTATGGCTTGGGGGTAGAAGCTGTTTAGAAGCCTCTTGGATCTAGACTTGGCGCTCCGGTACCGCTTGCCATGCGGTAGCAGAGAGAACAGTCTATGACTAGGGTGCCTGGAGTGTTTGACCATTTTTAGGGCCTTCCGCCTGGTATAGAGGTCCTGGATGGCAGGAAGCTTGGCCTCAGTGATGTACTGCCCTCTGTAGTGCCTTGCGGTCGGTTGCCGAGAAGTTGCCATACCAGGCAGTGATGCAACCAGTCAGGATGCTCTCGAAGGTGCAGCTGTAGAACCTTTTGAGGATCTGAGGACCCATGCCAAATCTTTTCAGTCTCCTTAGGGGGAATAGGTTTTGTCGTGCCCTCTTCACAACTGTCTTGGTGTGCTTGGATCATGTTAGTTTGTTGGTGATGTGGACACCAAGGAACTTGAAGCTCTCAACCTGCTCCACTACAGCCCCGTCAATGAGAATGGGGGCGTTCTCGGTCCTCTTCTTTTTCCTGTAGTCCACAATCATCTCCTTTGTCTTGATCACGTTGAGGGAGAGGTTGTTGTCCTGGCACCACACGGCCAGGTCTCTGACCTCCTCCCTATAGGCTGTCTCGTCGTTGTTGGTGATCAGGCCTACCACTGTTGTGTCATCAGCAAACTTAATGATGGTGTTGGAGTCGTGCCTGGCCATGCAGTCATGAGTGAACAGGGAGTACAGGAGGTGACTGAGCACACACCCCTGAGGGGCCCCCGTGTTGAGGGTCATAATGGCGGATGTGATGTTACCTACCCTTACCACCTGGGGGCGGCCCGTCAGGAAGTCCAGGATCCAGTTGCAGAGGGAGGTGTTTAGTCCCAGGGTCCTTAGCTTAGTGATGAGCTTTGAGGGCACTATTGTGTTGAACGTTGAGCTGTAGTCAATTAATAGCATTCTCACATAGGTGTTCCTTTTGTCCAGGTGTGAAAGGGCAGTGTGGAGCGCAATAGAGATTCCATCATCTGTGGATCTGTTGGGGCGATATGCAAATTGGAGTGGGTCTAGGGTTTCTGGGATAATGGTGTTGATGTGAGCCATGACCAGCCTTTCAAAAAACGCATGGCTACAGATGTCAGTGCTATGGGTCGGTAGTCATTTAGGCAGGTTATCTTAGTGTCCTTGGGCACAGGGACTATGGTGGTCTGCTTGAAACATGTTGGTATTACAGACTCAGACAGGGAGAGGTTGAAAATGTCAGTGAAGACACTTGCCAGTTGGTCAGCGCATGCTCGGAGTACACGTCCTGGTAATCCATCTGGCCCTGCGGCCTTGTGAATGTTGACCTGTTTAAAGGTCTTACTCACATTGGCTACGTAGAGCGAGATCACACAGTCATCCGGAACAGCTGATGCTCTCATGCATGTTTCAGTGTTACTTGCCTCAAAGTGTGCATAGAAGTAATTTAGCTCATCTGGTAGGCTCGTGTCACTGGGCAGCTCGCGGCTGTGCTTCCCTTTGTAGTCTGTAATAGTTTGCAAGCCCTGCCACATGCGATGAGCGTCGGAGCAATCTTAGTCCTGTATTGACGCTTTGCCTGTTTGATGGTTCGTCTGAGGGCATCTCGGGATTTCTTATAAACTTCCGGGTTAGAGTCCTGCTCCTTGAAAGTGGAGCTCTACCCTTTATCTCAGTGCGGATGTTGCCTGTATCCATGGCTTCTGGTTGGGGTACGTACGTACAGTCACTGTGGGGACAACGTCATCGATGCACTTATTGATGAAGTGTGTGACTGATGTGGTGTACTCCTCAATGCCATTGGAAGAATCCCGGAACATATTCCAGTCTGTGCTAGCAAAACAGTCCTGTAGCTTAGCATCTGCTTCATCTGACCACTTTTTTATTGACCAAGTCACTGTTGCTTCCTGCTTTAGTTTTTGCTTGTAAGCAGGAATCAGGAGGATTCCAGCCAACCATATACTGTACCTTCCGGGTAACATAACAGTAGCTAAAGCAGTTATACATACTGTAGGTACACAGTGGTCCTATGTAGCTCAGCATGGCGCTTGCAATGCCAGGACAGTGAGTTCAATTCCCAGGACCACCCATGTGTAAAAAATGTATTCACACATGACAAAGTCAATTTGGATAAAAGCATCTGCTAAATGGCCTATACTATTATACTGAACAAAAATATAAATGCAACACGCAACAATTTCAGTTCATATAGGGAAATCAGTCAACTGAAATACATTAATTAGGCCCTAATCTATGGATTTCGCATGACTGGGCAGGGGCGCAGCCATGGGTGGGCCTGGGCGGGCATAAGCCCACCCACTTGGGAGCCAGGCCCAGCCAATCAGACTGAGTTTTCCCCACAAGAGGGCTTATTACAGACAAAAATACTCCTCAGTTTCATCAGGTGTCCGGGTGGCTGGTCTCAGTGGAGGTCCTTGGCTGGCGTGGTTACACGTGGTCTGCGGTTGTGAGGCCGTTTGGATGTACTACCAAATTCTCTAAAACGACGTTGGAGGCAGCTTATGGTAGAGAAATGAACATTCAATTATCTGGCAACAGCTCTGGTGGACATTCCTGCAGTCAGCATGCCAATTGCACGCTCCTTCAAAACTTGAGACATCTGTGGCATTGTGTTGTGTGACTAAACTGCACATTTTAGAGGGGCCTTTTATTGTCCCCAGCACAAGGTGCACCTGTGTAATGATCATGCTGTTTAATCAGCTTCTTGATATGCCACACCTGTCAGGTGGATGGATTATCTTGGCAAAGGAGAAATGCTCACTAACAGGAATGTAAACAAATTTGTGCACAGAATTTGAGAATAATATGATTTTTGTGCGTATGGGAAATTTCTGGGATCTTTTATTTCAGCTCATTAAACATGGGACCAACACTTTACATGTTGCGTTCATATTTCTGTTCAGTATATATTAAAAGCTAAACCAGTGATACATAGATACATATCCTGCACCTTTCATACATAACAGTAGTCCTCCACCCTGCACCTTTCATACATAACAGTAGTCCTCCACCCTGCACCTTTCATACATAACAGTAGTCCTCTACCCTGCACCTTTCATACATAACAGTAGTCCTCTACCCTGCACCTTTCATACATAACAGTAGTCCTCCACCCTGCACCTTTCATACATAACAGTAGTCCTCTACCCTGCACCTTTCATACATAACAGTAGTCCTCTACCCTGCACCTTTCATACATAACAGTAGTCCTCTAATCTGCACCTTTCTCTCCACCTGTCCACAGTTGCTACAGGGATTTGGGGATGACAGACCTGTTATCGGATCACATTTTAATTTCACGGGTGAGTGAGGAGCCAGAAACTGTGAACTGGGCTGGAGGGGGTGGAGGGACATTAGAGGAATACATCACAACAAGGGAAACAGGGCCATCTGCTGGCCGATTGATAACATGATGGCACCCTATTCCCTATATGTTGAGTATTCAAAACATTAGGAACACCTTTCTAATATTGAGTTGCATCCCCTTTTGCCCTCAGAAGAGCCTCAATTCGTCAGGGCATGGACTCTACAAGGTGTCGAAAGTGTTCCACAGGGATGCTGGCCCATGTTGACTCCAATGCTACCCACAGTTGTGTCAAGTTGGCTGGATGTCCTTTGGGTGGTGGACCATTCTTGATACACACAGGAAAATGTTGAGCGTGAGAAACACAGCAGCGATGCAGTTCTTGACACACTCAAACCTGTGTGCCTGGCACCTACTACCATACCCCGTTCAAAGGCACTTAAATATTTTGTCTTGCCCATTCACCCTCTGAATGGCACACATACACAATCCATGTCTCCTCCCCTTCATCTCCACTGATTAAAGGGGATTTAACAAGTGAGGGATCATAGCTTTGTGGTCCTCTGTAGCTCAATTGGTAGAGCATGGCGCTTGTAACGACAGGGTAGTGGGTTCGATCCCCGGGACCACCCATATATGGGCGGCAGGTAGCTTAGTGGGTAAGAGCGTTGTGCCAGTAACCGAAAGGTTGCTGGTTCTAATCCCCGAGCCGACTAGGTGAAAAATCTGTCGATGTGCCCTTAAGCAAGGCACTTAACCCTAATTGCTCCTGTAAGTCGCTCTGGATAAGAGCGTCTGCTAAATGACTAAAATGTAAAATGTAAATGTATATACAAAAAATTTATGCACGCATGACTGTACGTCGCTTTGGATAAAAGCGTCTGCTAAATGGCATATTATAGTAGGGTGAGGCCGGGTGCTGCAGACTGTTCTAGTGCCCTCGCCAATTCGTTGATATATATGTTGAAGAGGGTGGGGCTTAAACTGCATCCCTGTCTCACCCCACGGTCCTGTGGATAGAAATGTGTGTGTTTTTTGCCAAGTTTAACGCCAGGGTAGTGGGTTCGATCCCCGGGACCACCCATACACAAAAAATGTATGCATGCATGACTGTAAGTCGCTTTGGATAAAAGCGTCTGGTAAATGGCATATTATTATTATATTATTATTATTAGCTTTCACCTGGATTCTCCTGGTCAGTCTATGTCATGGAAATAGCAGGTGTTCCTAAAGTTTTGTCCACTCAGTGTATAGTGCACTACTTTTGACCAGCCTTATCTAGCGTTTAAAAGAGTCATCCAGTAGTAGTAGTACCTTTCTGGTTCTCTGCCTGCACCCTGGCCCCGGCCTTGATGAGGTAATCATGCATTATTACAGACAGAGTATTAGTAGTGATATAGTATTAGTACCTTTCTGGTTCTCTGCCTGCACCCTGGCCCCGGCCTTGATGAGGTAGTCGTGCAGTATTACAGACAGAGTATTAGTAGTGATATAGTATTAGTACCTTTCTGGTTCTCTGCCTGCACCCTGGCCCCGGCCTTGATGAGGTAGTCATGCAGTATTACAGACAGAGTATTAGTAGTGATATAGTATTAGTACCTTTCTTGTTCTCTGCCTGCACCCTGGCCCCGGCCTTGATGAGGTAGTCATGCATTATTACAGACAGAGTATTAGTAGTGATATAGTATTAGTACCTTTCTTGTTCTCTGCCTGCACTCTGGCCCCGGCCTTGATGAGGTAATCATGCAGTATTACAGACAGAGTATTAGTAGTGATATAGTATTAGTACCTTTCTTGTTCTCTGCCTGCACCCTGGCCCCGGCCTTGATGAGGTAGTCATGCAGTATTACAGACAGAGTATTAGTAGTGATATAGTATTAGTACCTTTCTTGTTCTCTGCCTGCACTCTGGCCCCGGCCTTGATGAGGTAATCATGCAGTATTACAGACAGAGTATTAGTAGTGATATAGTATTAGTACCTTTCTTGTTCTCTGCCTGCACCCTGGACCCGGCCTTGATGAGGTAGTCGTGCAGTATTACAGACAGAGTATTAGTAGTGATATAGTATTAGTACCTTTCTGGTTCTCTGCCTGCACCCTGGCCCCGGCCTTGATGAGGTAGTCGTGCAGTATTACAGACAGAGTATTAGTAGTGATATAGTATTAGTACCTTTCTTGTTCTCTGCCTGCACCCTGGCCCCGGCCTTGATGAGGTAGTCATGCAGTATTACAGACAGAGTATTAGTAGTGATATAGTATTAGTACCTTTCTTGTTCTCTGCCTGCACCCTGGCCCCGGCCTTGATGAGGTAGTCGTGCAGTATTACAGACAGAGTATTAGTAGTGATATAGTATTAGTACCTTTCTTGTTCTCTGCCTGCACCCTGGCCCCGGCCTTGATGAGGTAGTCATGCAGTATTACAGACAGAGTATTAGTAGTGATATAGTATTAGTACCTTTCTTGTTCTCTGCCTGCACCCTGGCCCCGGCCTTGATGAGGTAGTCATGCAGTATTACAGACAGAGTATTAGTAGTGATATAGTATTAGTACCTTTCTTGTTCTCTGCCTGCACCCTGGCCCCGGCCTTGATGAGGTAGTCCACACAGCACGGTCTGCAGCTCTCGATGGCCCTCATAAGGGGCGTGGCACCGTTCATGGCCACGGCGTCCACCACTGACCCAGAATGCACCAGGAGGTCCACGATGTCCACCTGGCCTGCATGGGAGGCGTGGTGCAGCGGTGTCCAACTGAACTGGTCACACGTGTTCACATCAGCACTGTAGCGGATCAATACACCTGATCACTGATCTATAAACCAGCCGCTAAACCAGTAAAATGCATCGCCAGGTATCGAATAACATTAACAAAATAGGGATCAATAGACTTGATTAGTCAAAGCCCCTTGAGGTCCAGAGCTGGTTCACTGATGTGTGACTAATGATCAACAATAGACCTGATCACTACTGAATAAACCAGCATCAGCACTGAGACCTGATCACTACTGAATAAACCAGCATCAGCACTGAGACCTGGTCACTACTGAATAAACCAGGCTCAGCACTGAAACTGAGGAACAGCAATACTACAGGGCTGTATAATGCTCATTGCTCACCGGGGTTTGGGGTCAATACCATTTTCAATTCCAGTCAATTCAGAAAGTAACCAAATTCCAATTATTTTGTATGCTTTTCAATTAGGAAAATGTGGAATTGGTATTTGGATTACTTTCTGAATTGACTGGAATTGAAATGGAATTGACCACAACCCTGGTATAATGCTCATTGCTCACCCCAGGCTGATGAGGAACCGGGCCACCTCATAGTTCCCGCTCCTGCAGGCGGTCATCAGGGGCGTCTTGTAGTAGCAGTCCTTCACATCCACAGGGACCCCCTGACTGAAGGCCAGGCTCAGAGACTCCAGGTCCCCGGTCTTCACACAGTAGTTGATGTTGATATAGATCTTCTCCGGCTCGTCCACGTACCACGCTGAGTCGTCTTCGATGGGGTGGCCAGGCGGGTGGTCGCGGTCGAACCGCTTGGTGTCGGTGAACTGCTGGTAGCTCTCCACCATGAAGTGTGGCGGGCCGCCGTCCTGGCGCCGGCAGATGAGCTCCGGAGGGACAATGCAGATGGGCATGGGAAGGACGAACTTGCCTTTCTTTTTCCCCCTTTCCCCTTTCCCGGCTTTCTTCTTCTTGGGCTCGTAGGAGGGAAGAGTGAAGGTTTTCTGGAGGTAACGCACCCCTTTGAAGAAATCAGTCACGTTGATCAGTCCCTCGCGCTTCTTGTCGTGCTCCAGAATCACCTGGATACAAATATTCATTTTAATTCATGAAGTGTTTTTTTCTGGCAACTAGGACCTACTGCAGAATAAGAGCACAATCTAAAACAGTATACTAAATTGGCTGCTTCTCAAATTACCCCCTATTCACCCTTATATTGAACTACTTTTGACCAGAGTCACTATGTAGAAAATGTAGTGTTTTGCCCATGAGGTTTGTACATTAAAGCCATAAAGAAGAACACAACCGAACGTCCCACAGATCAGATATCATACACATATAGTTAAACATCAACTCTAGATATTCTAGAATGACTATCATATTCTAGAATGACTATCATATTCTAGAATGACCTTCTGGAGGTTCTCGTCATCCACTGGCGCCCGGTGATCCTGCAGCACCGCCACGAACGTCTCCCGGGTAACCGTCTCTACGGGACCCACGGCCTCCTCAGCGATCTCCATGGCGGTGCGGAGCGACGCTTCGTGCTCGCAGGACCAGTCGTGCAGCGTGAGCGCCCACAGCTCATTGGGATTGACGGCGCCGGGCTTGGAGAACTTCACCTCCAGACGCTCAGCCTTCTTCAGCTCCTTCATGGCTGGCTTCTGGTTGTTGTTCTTGGCCATCTGACTGGGGATCAAACCCTCTATGTTCTTCAGCTTGGCGTTGCAGCCTGGGGTTGACACAGGAGGTATGTTGAATTTTAAGATGCAATCTACAGGTAAGAGATGGCAGGCTTTAGCTACAGTATATATGGTCCTGGGGTTAGAGATGGCAGGCTTTAGTTACAGTATATATGGTCCTGGGGTTAGAGATGGCAGGCTTTAGTTACAGTATATATGGTCCTGGGGTTAGAGATGGCAGGCTTTAGTTACAGTATATATGGTCCTGGGGTTAGAGATGGCAGGCTTTAGTTACAGTATACAGTTGAAGTCGGAAGTTTATATACACTTAGGTTGGAGTCATTAAAACTCGTTTTTCAACCACTCCACACATTTCTTGTTAACAAACTATAGTTTTGCCAAGTCGGTTAGAATATCTACTTTGTGCATGACATCCTTGGGAGCAATTTCCAAACGTCTGAAGGTACCACGTTCATCTGTACAAACAATAGTACGAAAGTGTAAACACCATGGGACCACGCAGCCGTCATACCGCTCAGGAAGGAGACGCGTTCTGTCTCCTAGAGATGAATGTACTTTGGTGCGAAAAGTGCAAATCAATCCCAGAACAACAGCAAAGGACCTTGTGAAGATGCTGGAGGAAACAGGTACAAAAGTATCTTTATCCACAGTAAAACAAGTCCTATATTGACATAACCTGAAAGTCCGCTCAGCAAGGAAGAAGCCACTGCTCCAAAACCACCATAAAAAAGCCAGACTATGGTTTCCAACTGCACATGGGGACAAAGATCGTACTTTTTGGAGAAATGGCCTCTGGTCTGATGAAACAAAAATAGAACTGTTTGGCTTTCAAGCCGAAGAACACCATCCCAACCGTGAAGCACCGGAGTGGCAGCATCATGCTGTGCTTTGCTGCAGGAGGGGCTGGTGCACTTCACAAAATAGATGTGGATATATTGAAGCAACATCTCAACATCAGTCAGGAAGTTAAAGAATAGTCGCAAATGGGTCTTCCGAATGGACAACGACTCAGTTACACCAAAATTCACCCAATTTATTGTGGGAAGCTTGTAGAAGGCTACCCGAAATGTTTGACCCAAGTTAAACAATTTAAAGGTAATGCTACAAAAAATAGTGTATGTAAACTTCTGACCCACTGGGAATGTGATGAAAGAAATAAAAGCTGAAATAAATAATTCTCTCTACTATTATTCTGACATTTGACATTCTTAAAATGAAGTGGTGATCCTAACTGACCTAAGACAGGGAATTTTGACTAGGATTAAATGTCAGGAATTGTGAAAAACTGTGAAAAACTGAGTTTAACTGTATTTGGCTAAGGTGTATGTAAACTTCCGACTTCAACTGTATATGACCCTGGGGTTAGAGATTTTCTAATCTTCTGTGGATGAAAGAGAGGTCAACATCGGAGATCAACACCCCTGGTCCTAGAGAGATACAGGGTGTGCAGGCTTTTGTTCCGTCCCAGCACTAAATCACCCGATTCTGCCAATCGATGTCTTCATGAGCAGTTGACCGACTTATTGATTTCAGTGTGCTGGGCTGGAACCAAAGCCTGCACAACCCGTGGGCTCTCTGCCCAGTCAGTCAGGTGCCCCACCTCTCTGAGCCAGGAACCTGCAGCAGTCAGTGAACCCTGCGGCTGCAGCCAAGTGCAAGGGGGTGTTCCCATCCGTGGCAGTCACACTCAAGTCTGCAGAGTAAGCAGACAGCACCACTATCACCTGAAAGGGAAAACAGAATTAGACCTAGTCTATACATTTTTATTTGATTTATTTTTAGGGTTGCAAAGGTAGCAGTAATTTACCAAAGTTAAGGTAATTAACAGGTAATCTCTGGCAATGTATAGTAACGTTGGTAATTTATACTTGAATAACTTTTTTAAAAATGTATTAGTATATTAATATATTTTTGTATGTCTGTGTCCATATTGCCCATGAGTTTCTAGTGGATGGAAAATAGCCTAATTAATGAAAGAAAGCATCTAAATCAACAATGGAATTATTTTCAATTAACTTTGCAACTCTTCCAAATACTGCCACCAGTTTGCCGCCAAAATATTTACAACAAAGAAATATTGACATAGTAAAATAAATAAAAGATTGTAAAAAAAAAATATATATATATAAAGGATATTTCATGCTGAAACCCTCATATTAAACACCAACGATATTCACTAAGTTGATGGTTTATATTTTGGATAATGTTTTACAGCTTTGTCATTCACATTTTTTTTTTTAATCATCTTATTCGATTATTTTATATATTTTACATGTGATAAGGCCACGCAGAGGGCAAGATATAATTACGGACACCTGTGATAATCTGATGTACCCCTCCAAAAAACTTGAAAGTTACCAAAATTCTGATAGTTTACTGGTAAACTTAGAAAGTTTCCAGTAATAAACCCTCCCTTTGCAACCCTATTCATTTTTGGTGCCCAGCCCATATGGGCTTACAAGACACTCTTTCTTTAAGGGTCCGTGTAACGCTACGGGGTCCGTTAAACGCTACGGGGTCCGTGTAACGCTACGGGGTCCGTGTAACGCTACGGGGTCCGTGTAACGCTACGGGGTCCGTGTAACGCTACAGGGTCCGTGTAACGCTACGGGGTCCGTGTAACGCTACAGGGTCCGTGTAACGCTACAGGGTCCATGTAACGCTACAGGGTCCGTGTAACGCTACGGGGTCCGTGTAACGCTACGGGGTCCGTGTAACGCTACGGGGTCCGTGTAACGCTACAGGGTCCGTGTAACGCTACAGGGTCCGTGTAACGCTACGGGGTCCGTGTAACGCTACGGGGTCCGTGTAACGCTACGGGGTCCGTGTAACGCTACGGGGTCCGTGTAACGCTACAGGGTCCGTGTAACGCTACAGGGTCCGTGTAACGCTACAGGGTCCGTGTAACGCTACAGGGTCCGTGTAACGCTACAGGGTCCGTGTAACGCTACGGGGTCCGTGTAACGCTACAGGGTCCGTGTAACGCTACAGGGTCCGTGTAACGCTACAGCTACCACCTTGTCACATTATACAAACAATACATGTATCTTTCTCCCCCAGGCTTTGAAAATAAATTGGGCAATATGAAATACGGCCTTTCTGAAAAATTATTCTAGCCTGTGTTCATCATGTAGCCAGAACACTTCATATAACAGTTTATAGCAGTATATATGTTGAATTAAAAAAAAAGTACATTAAAATGTTTTATATTACAATCATCAGTCCTTTTGGTTTTAAACCTGATTACTAAGGTATCCTTTTGGTATTAAACCTGATTACTAAGGTATCCTTTTGGTTTTAAACCTGATTACTAAGGTATCCTTTTGGTATTAAACCTGATTACTAAGGTATCCTTTTGGTATTAAACCTGATTACTAAGGTATCCTTTTGGTTTTAAACCTGATTACTACGGTATCCTTTTGGTTTTAAACCTGATTACTAAGGTATCCTTTTGGTTTTAAACCTGATTACTATGGTATCCTTTTGTTAACCAGCACCTCTATAGTACCTCAAAGAAGCCCCCCTCTGCAGCGAGGTGGGCAGCGTGCATCCTCTTCTTGTCCACGGCATTGGGGTTCCCCCCTTTCTGGAGGATGGCCCTGACCAGCTCCACTGCCCCCGCCCTGGCTGCCTCCATCAGGGCCGAACGACCAGACGCCTGGAGGGGGGACAGGAGAACCAGCAACAGGCTAATGTTAATATGGTCATGAAAAAGTAAAGGAGATGAAGCAATGAAGGTGGAGTAGGAAGAGAGTTGAGATCTCAGTCGTCACTATCTGGAATCATACAAGTAAGGATTGAAGTAAAGTACTTTCAAATCATAATTTGAACCGCAAATTCTTCATTTTATCAAGACCAAACGACTCATTTACAGTGTATTCGGCACGTGACAAATAAATTAAAATGTGATTTGATGTCTGATGATGCCATAGCCAATTGTGTCCTTTCCAGCGCGGTCGTCTAGTGATTACCTCATTGGTGGCATTGGGGTCGGCCCCTCTCTCCAGGATGCTGATGCACATGTTCTCACAGTCGTGGGCGCGCTCGCAGGCCATCAGGAAGATGGGCGTCCCAGCTGTGGACACGTTGTTGACGTTGGCCTTGCTGTTGAGCGCCACCTGCAGGCAGCGCATGTGACGCTTGGTGGGAGAGATACAGTAGAACAGTGTGCCTGGAGGGAAGCACAGGAGAGAAACGTCTTGTCGGTTAGGGTTAGGGGGGGGGGGGGGGTTAGGGTTAGGATGCTAGGGTTAGGGGGTTAGGAGGTAGGGGGGGGTTAGGGTTAGGGGGTTAGGGTTGGGGGTTACAACAGATGCAGTGGAACAGTGTGCCTGGAGGGAAGCACAGGAGAGAAACATCTTGTCGGTTAGGGTTAGGGGGGGGGGGGGTTAGGGTTAGGATGCTAGGGTTAGGGGGTTAGGAGGTAGGGGGGGGTTAGGGTTAGGGGGTTAGGGTTGGGGGTTACAACAGATGCAGTAGAACAGTGTGTCTGGAGGGAAGCACAGGAGAGAAACATCTTGTCTGTTCCCTTACAAACCAGACTCCCAGATTCAGTGTCCACCAGTTTACAAAACTCTTCCACAGTTGGTGTTGTTCCGAGCCATGTATTTACAGAGTTGGGACATTGAGGTTTTCCGCATTATGATGCATTTACACGACACTACAAAATGACATGGCAGCCATGTTAGCGCCCCATTAAAATGACATGGCAGCCATGTTAGCGCCCCATTAAAATGACATGGCAGCCATGTTAGCGCCCCATTAAAATGACATGGGGAATATTTAAACAATGCTATGTAACTGAATTTCTAGAATTAGAACAATATTTGACAACCTAAAAGTTGGACCTACTCTTTAAATATATGGCTCTGGTGATGTTTGGCCCATCATTTTCAACGTCCCTTAGCCTCCTCCCACATCTAAACTATTTGTTCCGTCTTGCTAACTTCTATGCTGTGGTCACTGTCACAGACAATGACCATAGGAGTCGGCAAGACAGAACAAACAGATCTGGGAGCAGGGTAGAGAACCTCTCCCTACCTACCTTTGCCCTCGGTGTCGACCACGTCCATGTTGGCGTGGTTCTTGGCCAGCAGGGCGACCATGTTGTCGTGGCCCAGCTGAGCTGCCAGAATGACGGGCGTACGCCCCTTCTTGTCCTGGACGTTAGGGTGTGCACCCTGGGAGGAACGGTGGGGAATATCAATAGAGCTAGTGGTTTGATCAAATACATTTGTGAAAAAGTGCTTAACAGTAACCTGGTCTAAACCGCTCAAGCAGGATTAGGATGATACTGTAACAATTTGGTGGATCAGGAGGAGCTAGAGTAGGGCTTGAACCAGAGACTGTCTGACTGCACTCCCACCTACGCCACAAAGGTCCAGACCTCTTGGTAGAGGTTGTACTGTAATCACAAATAGGGGAACTGCACTAGTATCAGGATTTAAAGTGACAGCGAACCCTGTTTTAGAGGAAGGCGACAGTTTTGATAACGCTACTGACGATTGGTGGACTGGACACCGGGCCTACCTGTGGGAGCAGGAAGCGCACCATGTAACTGGACACCGGGCCTACCTGTGGGAGCAGGAAACGCACCATGTAACTGGACACCGGGCCTACCTGTGAGAGCAGGAAACGCACCATGTAACTGGACACCGGGCCTACCTGTGGGAGCAGGAAGCGCACCATGTAACTGGACACCGGGCCTACCTGTGGGAGCAGGAAACGCACCATGTAACTGGACACCGGGCCTACCTGTGAGAGCAGGAAGCGCACCATGTCGGTGTCGTTGGCCACGGAGGCCAGGTGCATGGCGGCGTTCCCCTCGTTGGGCTCGGTCAGGTTGATGAGGTTGGGCACGCCCAGACGCACCATCTTCTCTATCGGGGGCGTGTCTCCCTCGCGTACGCACTGCAGCAGACGGTACACCTGCAGCACCTCCAGACGATCCTCGGCCACCGCGCTGCGCACGTTCACACCTCCACTCTGGGTCATGGTCGCAGTCTGGGGAGGGAGAGGAGGCGGAGAGAGAATGGGCAGGGGAGAGGAGAAGAGAGTGCTGTGTAGATATGAGAGAGGAGGGGAGAGAGGAGAAGAGAGGAGAGGGGGGTGTATATAGGGTGAGTAAGGGAGGAGGTATAGGGAAGGGTTACATTGGATTTTTCTCACATTTTTATTTTCCACGAATACTAGAGTAAAAGTAACTCTACTGTTAATCTTTATTTGGCCGATTCCTCGCCGGGATAGCCCGAAATTATTTTGGGTATCTCAGATTGTTCTTGCAATTCTCACATAGAAACTTCATTGGGAGGGAAGAATGTTTGAAATGCTTTTTGCCACAAACCATCCTGTAAGGCCTCATGCGCCAATTCACGTCGTTACTCCTGTGACCAGAGAAAGTGAAATATTCCTTGATATTAAAAAGGACACAAGACGCTAATATATAACAACGCAAGCTTATCGGAACACTTTGCAACACTCATTAGGTGCAGCTGCAGTGCTGGTTGTAGCGTGAGTGGAACTAGCGAGAACGCAAATGTTATGGTATAAAAGTGTTGAACAAAGTGTTGACAGTGCTGAATAACAACTTAAACATGAACTCACTCATAAAAACAGCAGGTCTTTGCCGTATTTGTTGAGTCTCTCACTAGTCATGGTTTTAGAATTTTTGAAATCTCACAGTATCGACTTTTCTGTGCGTTCAAGGCTTCTTTTTTACAATCTTTGGCTCGAGGAAACTGGGAAGACATGGTGATCGGAGCTATCTGATTGGCCTGCGGTAGGCCTATAGGTGCACTTGATTTGCTCTCTGGGCCTTCTGGGTAGGCGGAGTTCTACCTTCAGACACATGAAATTGTTCAAGAAGGGAACACCTTGCCTTCCCGGCGCTAGGGCTGCTGAATCAAGTGCACTTACCACCAACAATGCGAAACAAACAAACAAAAAATAGGCACGCGATGCTTTATATTGTTGTGTTTTTTTTACAGAAACGTTTGGTGATCGACTAGGAATGCCTTGGAGATCGACCAGTCGATCGCCAGGTTGATGACCACCGCTCTACAATTACATCACATTTCCAGAGTAGGCTCTCTGCTAATTTTTAAGTTATGATACACTTAATGAGCAACTCCAACACAGTGAATGGGAAAATGGATTCAAAGAGAACTCCCTCTGCTGGTGATTTACTGAATGTGCGATTGTAAAAGACTGCTGTGATTGGTTAGTGACCTATAATGTCAATTTATATGTTAGAAAATGGGTCATATCTCCAAAAGTACCAGGCAGCCCACTCTGGAAATGTGATGTATTTGAAGAATATAATGTTCCAAACATTACTTCTAACAATAAGCTAAATCAAAAAAGGGTACTTTAGATATTCATATTTTTAATGTTTAAAAAAAATCAAGACACTGCATATTTTAGAGCACACTATGAGGAGTATAATGACACCAAGATGTCTGTATCATAGGGTCTTTTTGGAACTATACATGCTACACTAGGCATGTATAGGTTTAAAAAGGGCATAGAATTGCCACTTTCATCATGATTTTAAAAAACATTGTTTTGGATACAAATGTAAAAAAGCATTTCAAACATCCTTCCTCCCAATGTCGTTTCTATGTGAGAATTGCCAGAACAATCTGAGATACCGACAATATTTTCGGCCTATCTCGAAAATATTGTGCAAACAGATAGCATTTCTTCAGGCCCCATAACTTACCCTGCCAAATTCAGTGCCTTCGAATCACTGCCTCTCTACAGTGTCCCCAAACAAAAGAGTCCAAATACCACCATTCTATTCAGCAACATGGTGACTCTGCGCTGTTGACCACGGTACCTAACTTCATAACAAATCACTAGTGACAGGACACATTGTTTCGAAGCAGAAACTCTGACTCTGGGGGTTTTCTGGTCACCGGAGCAACCGCGCACTGTGAGATCACATTCTGAGCTTGTAGAACAGGTCTGCATTCTAAACGCCACAGGCCAGGAATATAATACTACTATTGTAAGCCATGATTTCAATGTAACACAGGATAAATAGTATATGTAGGCTTTCATGTCATGTCACTCTGACCTATTTGTCAATTTAAAAAAAAAGGTGCGCAAATAAATAAGCAAGTGCACATTTCCAAAACTTCACTCACACCATAATCCAGGGGTGTCAAACTCATTCCATGGAGGGCCTAGTGTCTGCAGGTTTTTGGTTTTTCCTTTAAATTAAGACCTAGACAATCAGGTGAGGGGAGTTCTTTACTAATTAGTGACCTTAATTAATCAATCAAGTACAAGGGAGGAGCGAAAACCCGCAGACACTCGGCCCTCCATGGAATGAGTTTGACACATGTGCCATAATCAAATCATTTCTGATATAATGTAGCTTGCTCAGTGGTTCTCAACTCCGATACTGGAGACCCGGAGTATTGCTGGTTTTAGTTCTAGCCCTCTAATCAGGGAATGATCTAGAGCTGGGACACGCGGTGAATGCAATTAACTATTGGGAGAACGCAATGAACTCCTAGAAAGCCAGTGGGCTACTCTATGATGAAAGGTGCACTTTCAACAGCACCATCTTTCGGTCACACTCGGGAACTTTCAAAGGGGAAAAAATATGTTTCCTTAAAGAGAAAGACAAGCGGCGCAGGCGCACACGCTCAGCAACGCAGAGCCGGACGGTGCTCGTTTTCGCCCTATTGATGATCAGCTCACTGGGGTTCAAAGACCACACAAGTGTGATATGAGCAACATTGTATCCGAAGTTCAAAGACGCGTTATTTCACGCAGGGAACATGGGTGACAAAAAGATACTGTGCATCGGGCTGGTATGTCTGGATATTGTCAATGTAGTGGACAAGTACCCGGAAGAGGACACTGACACCAGGTACGTGTTGTTTCATACTGAATGCACACTCATCATCTCTAGTGCATTTACCGTTTCAATTACATAGCTACAGTCCTAAAAACACACACACCCGTTTTATGATTACGGAGCGGAGCGAATATAGCTCTGCGCCTGCGCACGCCTCTCCTAAAAAAAAGGTAATCGCTATGCGGGATCCTTGGTACGTCCCAAACCTATTGAAGTTTACATTTAAAATGGTTAAGGGTTAGGGTTGGGTAAGGGTTATGGTTAAGGTTAGAGTAAGGGTTAAGGTTAGAGCTAGGGGCTGTGAAAGATGCACTTGTAAACGAACTGCACACTTTGCCGTACCACTGGCTTGCAAAAATCATAATGAAGTGATGGTTTTATGTTGACAACTTCGATCTCACATTCTTCACGCCTAGGCCTACTTAGATATCCTACTTGCACTACACTAGCCCGTAAAGAAACATGAAAGCCGTTGTTTCAAGATTGCTACACTAGTCACTTAATTCACAACAGCAAATTAATGATTTGACAGAGGGCAGTCATAGATACTACCTAAACTAAGATATTACAGCTGTGAAAGAGCACAGTTAGAAATAAATGGCATATGGAAGCAAACCGGATGGACATCATGAAAATGATCGGAGAGGTTGAGGGTAGAGGAAGTTCAGGAGAAAGAACAAACAAAATATAATTATTGTAAAATTGACTGTGTCCATAAAATGTATATAGTATATATAAGCTGGAAGTAGAGGCCTAAGCATTGTTGTTCACTAGTTTACTCCAATTAGGGAAGGGGTGGTGGGGTTGGAAAGTAATAAAGGGAAATATATATTTTAAAAAAAGGATATGTGTATATGTATTTATTTATATGTCTGTATATATATATATATATATATATATATATGTGTGTATATTTGCAAGAAAAAAAAACATATGGGTGATTGGAAGTGATGCAGACAATTACATTGATGGAAGTTACAATCTATCTGCAATATTAAAGCTGATCTACCCCCCAGAAAAAAAAAAGAAGGGAAAAAAAAAAGATATTACAGCTGTCTGTTATTCATCCATGCCTCTGCATTCGCGCACAGGTGTTTGTCTCAACGATGGCAGCGTGGCGGGAACGCATCCAACTCGTGCACGGTGCTGTCACTGCTTGGCGCTCCCTGTGCGTTCATGGGGTCCCTAGCGCCTGGGCATGTTGCAGAGTAAGTAGCTTGTTGTAAATAAACAGATATTACATCTGACAAACTCAAATGGATCATTATGAAAAAGAAATTAACACATCTTTTATTCTATCATCTTAGGTCTACTTTTGGGGATTTATTTAATGTGTTTAGGTAGAATCAATTAAGGCATGCAATTTTTTTTGTTATTTCATGTCCTTTTTGGTGTTACAAAGACATCTTCCGAATCTGTCATGATCAGCGATAATGTATTCCAGTTTTTCCCTGAGGTCGTGGTGCAATGATCGAGAACAGTAATGGATCTCAACAGCAACAACAACAACTGTCTGTCTGACTGTCTGACTGACTGTCTGTCTGTCTGTCTATCTAGATGTCTCTCTTTCTTATACAGTGATTATATCCCACAGATTCATACTAGGTGACTTTCAGAAGTACCAGATTGACATCTCTCTCCTATCAGAACACCCTCACAGCTCCTTCCCTACCTCTATGATCATAAGCAATGTGACCACGGGCCACCCGCACCATCCTCCACATGAACAGGTTTGTGTGTGTGTGTTTGTGTGTGCGCACAAACACTTGCAATGACCTGTGTGTGTAGGTTCAATTCAGTTCCCCTCCCTAAATCCTCACTCACACTCACTTGCTCACTTCTCCACTTGGGCTCTCCTGTGCTGCTATCCCTGTCTCTACCACTAGGTGGAAACCTGTCCCCACTAACCCCCATGCTCTACCCCCTCTCCCAGGTATGCTTCTCAGAGGTCATAGGTTATGCCCTGGTCTCCCAGTCTGCAGCAAATGTACCCCGCTCCCTCCCTTCAGGGCAGAGGAAACACGTGCTATGTATCATTGTTATTATGATCATTATTTATTACAATAATGATGTAATGATGATGTATGTAGTATCATTATCATTGGGTTCATTGAGGGGTGCTGTCTGTCTGTCTGTCTGTCTGTCTGTCTGTCTGTCTCCCTACTCTGTCAGCTTCATCGTGGGGGATTTCTCGCGCTGTGGGGTGGACATTTCGTCCGTTGCCTGGCAGCGGGATGGGGAGAACCCGTGTGCGTGTTGCGTGGTGTGTCCCCCGAGCGGCTCACGCACAGTCGTGCTCTCCGACACGTAAGACACACACGTGGCGGAGGATCCGGCGCTGGATCCTATAATGCCGTGTTTGGGTCTAATACGGGATGGCTGCTCCACTGCAGTAGAATAGAGCCAGAATGGAGACGTGGAGAGTCACACAAGGCTGTAGCCAGATAACTGCCTCACAATATCAGTTCAAAGGGTGTTGTAAGATTGTCAATCTTAGCCAAACTTCCTGAGCCAAGTGAGTGAGTTAATAATTAGTGAGTGAGATATTCATTACAGTCTACATTTACGTTTACATTGACGTCATTTAGCAGACGCTCTTATCCAGAGCGACTTACAAATTGGTGCATTCAACTTATGATAGCCAGTGGGACAACCACTTTTTTTTTATGGGGATGTGGGGGAGGGGTGTAGAAGGATTACTTTTATACTATTCCAGGTATTCCTTAAAGAGGTAGGGTTTCAAGTGTCTCCGGAAGGTGGTCAGTGACACTGCTGTCCTGGCGTCGTGGGGGAGCTTGTTCCACCATTGGGGTGCCAGAGCAGCGAATAGCTTTGACTGGGCTGAGCGGGAACTGTGCTTACGTAGAGGTAGGGGGACTAGCAGGCCAGAGGTGGATGAACGTAGTGCCCTCGTTTGGGTGTAGGGTCTTATCAGAGCCTGAAGGTAAGGAGGTACCATTCCCCCTCACAGCTCCGTAGGCAAGCACCATGGTCTTGTAGTAGATGCGAGCCTCAACTGGAAGCCAGTGGAGTGTGTGGAGGAGCGGGGTGACATGAGAGAACTTGGGAAGGTTGAACACCAGACGGGCTGCAGCATTCTGGATAAGTTGTAGGGGTTTAATGGCACAGGCAGGGAGCCCAGCCAACAGCGAGTTGCAGTAATCCAGACGGGAGATGACAAGTGCCTGGATTAGGACCTGTGCCGCTTTCTATGTAAGGTAGGGTCGTACTCTGCGAATGTTGTAGAGCATGAACCTGCATGATCGGGTCTCCGCTTTGATGTTAGCGGAGAACGACAGGGTGTTGTCCAGGGTCACGCCAAGGTTCTTTGCACTCTGGGAGGAGGACACAATGGAGTTGTCAACTGTGATGGCGAGATCATGGAGCGGGCACTCCTTCCCCGGGAGGAAGAGCAGCTCCGTCTTGCCGAGGTTCAGCTTGAGGTGGTGATCCGACATCCATACTGATATGTCTTTCAGACATGCAGAGATGCGATTCGCCACCTGGTTATCAGAAGGGGGAAAGGAGAAAATGAATTGTGTGTCGTCTGCGTAGCAATGATAGGAGAGACCATGTGAGGATATGAAAGAGCCAAGTGACTTGGTGTATAGAGAGAATATGGGAGGGCCTAGAACTGAGCCCTGGGGGACACCAGTGGTGAGAGCACGTGGTGCGGAGACAGATTCTCGCCACGCCACCTGGTAGGAGCGACCTGTCAGGTAGGACGCAATCCAAGAGTGAGCAGCGCCGGAGATGCCCAACACGGAGAGGGTGGAGAGGAGGATCTGATGGTTCACAGTATCAAAGGCAGCAGATAGGTCTAGAAGGATAAGAGCAGAGGAGAGAGAGTTAGCTTTAGCAGTGCGGAGAGCCTCTGTGACACAGAGAAGAGCAGTCTCAGTTGAATGACCAGTCTTGAAACCTGACTGGTTTGGATCAAGAAGGTCATTCTGAGAGAGCTAGCAGGAGAGTTGGCTAGAGACGGCACGCTCAAGAGTTTTGGAGAGAAAAGAAAGAAGGGATACTGGTCTATAGTTTGTGACATCGGAGGGATCGAGTGTAGGTTTTTTGAGGAGGGGTGCAACTCTCGCTCTCTTGAAGACGGAAGGGACATGGCCAGCGGTCAAGGATGAGTTGATGAGCGAGGTGAGGTAAGGGAGAAGGTCTCCGGAAATGGCCTGGAGAAGAGAGGAGGGGATAGGGTCAAGCGAGCAGGTTGTTGGGCGGCCGGCCGTCACAAGTCGCAAGATTTCATCTGGAGAGAGAGGGGAGAAAGAAGTCAAAGCATAGGGTAGGGCAGTGTGAGCAGGACCAGCGGTGTCATTTTACGTAATAAATGAGGATCGGATGTCGTCAACCTACTTTTCAAAATGGTTGACAAAGTCATCCACAGAGAGGGAGGAGGGAGGGAGGGAGAGGAGGAGGAGGATTCAGCAGGGAGGAGGTGGCGGCAAAGAGCTTCCTAGGGTTAGAGGCAGAGGCTTGAAATTTAGAGTGGTAGAAAATGGCTTTAGCAGCAGAAACAGAAAAAGAGAATGTAGAGAGGAGGGAGTGAAAACATGACAGGTCCGCAGGGAGTCTAGTTTTCCTCCATGACTCGCAATGAGTCGTCAAGCCATGGAGCAGGAGGGGAGGACCGAGCCGGCTGGGAGGATAGGGGACATAGAGAGTCAAAAGATGCAGAAAGGGAAGAGAGGAGGGTTGAGGAGGCAGAATCAGGAGATCGGAGGGAGGATTTAGCAGAGGGAAGCAATGATAGGATGGAAGAGGAGAGAGTAGCGGGAGAGAGAGAGCGAAGGTTGCGACAGCACATTACCAACTGAGTAGGGGCAGAGTGAGTAGTGTTGGAGGAGAGCGAGAGAGAAAAGGATACGAAGTAGTGGTCGGAGACTTGGAGGGGAGTTGCAGTGAGATTAGTAGAAGAACAGCATCTAGTAAAGATGAGGTCAAGCGTATTGCCTGCCTTGTGAGTAGGGGGGGGGACGGTGAGAGGGTGAGGTCAAAAGAGGAAAGGAGTGGAAAGAAGGAGGCAGAGAGAAATGAGTCAAAGGCAGACGTAGGAAGGTTAAAGTCACCCAGAACTAGATGGATGTTACTCAGGAGCCAGTTAAAGCCATGATACACTAGCAATTGTTTGAGGCAATCAGCTTTACAGTTTGTATCAGTATGTCCCATAAACGTAGGGTTAGGGGGGAGTCTGTCTGCAGTGGCGCTGCATGGGTTAATTCTGGGGCTCATCTCTAATTCTACCAATTCAATCACTGCATGCTTAATGTGTTGTTGTCACAATGTCATTTCATCCATTGATAATACTGGATCATGTGATGCGATGTGATTTCCATGGAGAAGTAGGGTAGGAGTATGAACTTTCCCTCGTTTCAGGATGTGTTTTCTGTCAAACTTGGTAGGGTGCATTTCTAGGGCTCTATGGTGTAACATGACAACCAATCGGATTTGAGATTGACACCCTCCCCTCCTCCCAGTTTTTGATTATGAATTCAGGAGCCTAACTTTTCTCATTATATTCTATATCTATTCAGCTGGCTTGATTTCCTACCCCAGCCCGGTCTCATAGACTAGACGTACCATAGTAAAGGTAAATCTGGGACACTCAAATTCGTATGATATGTTACGTTTGGTCTGTTTACATAAGACAGACGGTTACTTAAGGCAAAAACTAAAGTAGGGTGGTTGGTCAGGGTGGATGGGCAGGCATATAACGCAAATATGTAGCAACCCAAAGGTTGCATGTTCGAATCTCATCACAGACAACTTTTGAATGTTTGCTAATTAGCTACTTTGTAACTACTTACTACTTTTTTAGCTACTTAGCTAACCCTTCCCCTAACCTTCACCTAACTCCTAACCCCTAACCCTAACCCTAACCCCTAGCCTAGCTAACGTTAGCAAGCTAGCTAATGTTAGTGTTAGCCACCTAGCTAACATTAGCTATAACAAATTGGAATTCGTAACATAATATATGTTCTGCAAATTCGTTGCATATTGTACGAATTGCAATTCGGTATCCTACTAATTGTGTCCCGGATTTACATTTACCATGTTACAGCTGCCCCTGAGTCCAGGTTGCCTATCCAATAAGGTTAATAATAGTTTAGTTTACAAAAGGAACTCCCGTTGTCTCTCTCTTTTTTCCCCTCCTCCCCCTCTCTCCAACTCTCCCCTCTCTCTCTTCCCCCTCTTCCTCTCTTCTCCCCTCTCTTTCCCTCTCTTCCCCCTCCCCCTCTCTCTCTCAGAAACCTGGCTGACGTGTCAGCAGCAGACTTCTCTAAGGTAGATCTCAGTCAGTACAAATGGATCCACTGGGAGGTGAGCTCACAAAGAGGTTATAGAACACTCTACTCTAGATTTAATCACACAGAGGTTAACATTGACCTCATAAATCAAATACATTTATATTTGTCACACGCGCCGAATACAACAGGTGTAGACCTTACAGTGAAATGCTTACTTACAAGCCCTTAACCAACAATGCAGTTTTAAGAAAAGAGTTAAGAAAATATTTACTAAATAATCTAAAGTAAAAAAATAAAAATAATAATAACACAATAAAATAACAATAACGAGGCTATATACAGGAGGTACCGGTACCGAGTCAATGTGCGGGGGTACAGGTTAGTCGAAGTAATTTGTACATATAGGTAGGGGTAAAGTGACAATGCATAGATAATAAACAGTGAGTAGCAGCAGTCTAAAAACAAATGCAAATTCTTTGGGTGGCCATTTGATTAATTGTTCAGCAGTCTTATGGCTTGTGGGTAGAAGCTGTTAAGGAGCCTTTTGGACCTAGACTTGGCACTCCGGTACCGCTTGCCATGCGGTAGCAGAGAGAACGGTCTATGACTTGGGTGATTGGAGTCTTTGAAAATTTTTAGGGCCTTCCTCTGACACCGCCTGGAATAGAGGTCCTGGATGGCAGGAAGCTTGGCCCCAGTGATGTACTGGGCCGTACGCACTACCCTCTGTAGTGCCTTACAGCCGGATGCCAAGCAGTTGCCATACCAGGCGGTGATGCAACCGGTCAGGATGCTCTCGATGGTGCAGTGTATAACTTTTTGAGGATCTGGGGACCCACCCCTGAGGGGCCCCCGTGTTGAGGATCAGCATGGCAGATGTGTTGTTGCCTACCCTTACCACCTGGGGGTGGCCCGTCAGGAAGTCCAGGATCCAGTTGCAGAGGGAGGTGTTTAGTCTCAGGGTCCTTAGCTTAGTGATGAGCTTTGTGGTTACTATGGTGTTGAACACTGAGCTGTAGTCAATGAACAGCATTCTCACATAGGTGTTCCTTTTGTCCAGGTGGGAAAGGGCAGTGTGGAGTGCAATTGAGATTGCGTGATCTGTGGATCTGTTGGGACGGTATGCGAATTGGAGTGGGTCTAGGGTTTCCGGGATGATGGTGTTAATGTGAGCCATGACCAGCCTTTCAAAGCACTTCATGTCTACCGACGTGAGTGCTACGGGGCGGTAGTAATTTAGGCAGGTTACCTTCGCTTTCTTGGGCACAGGGACTATGGTGGTCTGCTTGAAACATGTAGTTATTACAGACTTTGTCAGGGAGAGATTGAAAATGTCAGTGAAGACAGTTGGTCAGTGCATGCTCAGAGTACACGTCCTGGTAATCCATCTGGCCCTGCGGCCTTGTGAATGTTGACCTGTTTAAAGGTCTTGCTCACATCGGCTACGGAGAGCGTGATCACACAGTCGTCCGGATACGCTACTCAGAGGTTAAAGGAGCAATCGATTGCTTGGACTTTTAAAATAATGATATATAGCGATTGATTTTTGAAGAATATAACTTATATATGCCTCATGAGCTTAGTGCAGCTGTCTAACCACATCATAACCCCAAATATAAGCTTGTTTTACGCCATCGTTAGTAAACAATGTAATTGTAAAACACATGGTTAAAACGATCATTTTAATGTCATGGATGATCAGTTCTTTCATCCATAGCCCTGTCTATGAATTTGTGAGTGGTTACATTTCTCCAGCCCCATCCCTAAACTGTTTATCTAAAAAGGTGGCGGGGTGTCCACTTTTGTGATTTGAACTGCCGTATTGCCCCTTTAACATTGACTTAAAAAATTTAATCATGGTTCAACCGTTTTGTGTCATGTACAGTTTATAACACTTAAAAATAAAACAAACATGTTATAAACACGACCAACAGTGTAACATCCATGATAGGTTATGGTCACGTTTATAACATGTTTGTCACACGACAGGGCCGTAATGCTGAGGAGCAGGTGAAGATGATCCAACGGGTGGAGCTGTCTAACAGCACGTTGCCACAGCAACACAGGATCACCGTATCCGTGGAGATAGAGAAGACCAGGGAGCCTCTGTACCAGCTCTTTCGCTATGGCGATGTGGTACGACGCCCTCACTGATAGCATGAGTATCACCCATAACACTCTGGAACAATGCCTCCAGACAACGTCTAGACAGACAATGCTCTGTAGGAATGTTGAATGATGTCATTTAATTCCCAAAACATGTTCAGCATTCTCTACAGGTTTGGAGATTGATTTTGATATATTTTATTATGGGAGTGTGTTGCGTCTTCAGGATGCCCCGCCCAAATGGCCTTATAAGACAATGTATTCATGATTCATAGTTTGCATTTACAAGTTGAGTTTTCACTGTGTTACTATGTAAGCAATAGCAGCACATGCATTATATGATTTTAAATAACATCCATAGAATGATAGTTAATCCCTATTCATTCTGATTATGTCATTGCTGGCAATCGAAGAGGGCATTACCAAACCTGTAACTGTCATAACACTGCCCTGTACCGGACCTGAAGCAACGTCTCCTCTCCTCTCCAGGTGTTTGTCAGTAAGGATGTGGCCATGCACTTTGGCTTCCACTCTGCTGCCAGTGCTCTAGGGCCTCTACCACAAGTGAGAAATGGTTAGTGGACACAATATAGGATGAGGAGGAAGAGGAAGAAGAGAGTGAGGGGTGAGTGGGACACACAGAGAGGAGGAGGAGGAAGAGGAAGAAGAGAGTTGAGGGGTGAGGATTGGGACACAAGAGAGGAATGGAGGAGGAGGAGAGGAAGAGGTCGGGGGTGAGTGGGACACCAGAGAGGAGTAGGGGAGGAGGAACGAGGGTGGGGGGTGAGGTGACCACAGAGAGGAGGAGGAGGAAGAAGAGAGTGAGGGGTGAGTGGGACACACAGAGAGGAGGAGGAGGAAGAAGAGAGCGAGGGACACATGCAGGCAGGTAGAGACAGATAGACAGAAGAGGGCTGTGGTGTGTGCAGTCTAAAACTATATGCTACTGTTAACTCTTCATATTCTGATCCAGTTTGCCATTGTAGTCTAAACACCTGAAAGTAGGCTTACTGTGGCTTCCAGGGCTGTCCTCATATGTGCCTGGGCAGAGAAAGGGGCAGATGCGATGGGTCCTGATGGCATAGTGGTCCACTCAGATGCTTTTCCACCGGAGGCCCTCGTGGACACGCTCGGAGCAGGCGACACTTTCAATGCATCAGTGATCTACACCCTGTCAAACGGTGAGGTGATATATATTTTTTTTTTTTTTACACCCAGTCAAACGGTAAGGGGATATTTGTATTTTCTAGACCCAAAATGCAATCAATCAATCATCTATTGTCTCCCTCTCCCCTGGTAGGAGGAGGAGTACAGGAAGCTCTAACGTTCGGTTGCCAGGTAGCAGGCAGGAAGTGTGGTGTCCACGGATACGACGAAATCGTGTCAAAGAAAGAATGAAGAATAATGGTCATGACTCTAGATGGAGGGTTGTTGACATAACAGTACACTTTATTTTCAATTCTACTAACACTAATTTGGCAGTAGGTATAGGAAAGTTTTGTCACGTCACAAAACTCAACACAGCAAAACAGCATTAGAGGTACTATTAGTTTTAACAGACACATTTCAAGCCAAACCCCTTCACAAAAAAAGAAAAGGAGTGTTTGAGGTTAAAGTAATTATTATTTAGAAGTTTTATTCTCATCTTCCCTGTAGTTTTTTGCTCCCAGATGTTAGCTGTTTATTAACCAACGTTCAGATTCTCCTGGCTAGCATTTTTCGAGAATGTAGCAATGCTAGTGGAAACAGGTTGTATCAGTTAGCCGCACATTCAAAATCACAGGGCCTAAAAACTTATGGTGAATTTAACCATATGAACTTAACAAAATGTTCTTGCAATAAAACACAATAAATACCACATTTGTCGTTGTCAGCTGGCAACAAAGAGTCTTGTAAGTCTTTCCCAGGGCCTTTCTCAGGGGCTTGATACTGTATATTCAATACTTCTGTTCATTCTGGATGTCATTTCTGCACAGCAAACACTATCAGCATAGTAAAACATACTTGCAGACCAAAACGTGCGGACACAAATTACATTTACAGTAAAATACTATATGAAAATGATTACATTTTAGAAACATTATCCTTCTATGGATTGAAATGGAACTGTAACAGTACAAATCAAATGATCTTCAAAACAACAGTAATAATAATTACAATATTTATATAATCTCCATAGTCATGTGACAGTGGGCTTGAAAGTAGTAGGTGTCTGTGTGTGTGTGTGTGTGTGTGTTCAGAACTGACCGGCACTGCTGGGGTCACACTGTAACAGGCAGACTATGGACGGGTCACTCTTGGCACCTTTGATGAATTCCTCCAGAGACAGCCTACCTGCAGTAACAAGCCACAGGATTGGATGAGGAACTTGGTTATTCATCAGAGGTAAAAAAAATATATATATATATTGGTTAATTAAAACACTGAGGTAAGAACTAATTGGTGGAGGCAGAGAAAGGCGTGCATCCCATTAGTCTAAAATGGCGCTCTCTCATACACTCATTTCCCTCTTCTGCACTGATGCAGCCGAACTGGACTATTGGAAGCTATCACTTAGCCTGTGTGGCTCAGTTGGAAGCTATCACTTAGCCTGTTTGGCTCAGTTGGAAGCCATCACTTAGCCTGTTTGGCTCAGTTGGAAGCTATCACTTAGCCTGTGTGGCTCAGTTGGAAGCTATCACTTAGCCTGTGTGGCTCAGTTGGAAGCCATCACTTAGCCTGTGTGGCTTAGTTGGAAGCCATCACTTAGCCTGTGTGGCTCAGTTGGAAGCCATCACTTAGCCTGTGTGGCTCAGTTGGAAGCCATCACTTAGCCTGTGTGGCTCAGTTGGAAGCCATCACTTAGCCTGTGTGGCTCAGTTGGAAGCTATCACTTAGCCTGTTTGGCTCAGTTGGAGCCATCACTGCTGTGTGGCTCAGTTGGAAGCCATCACTTAGCCTGTGTGGCTCAGTTGGAAGCCATCACTTAGCCTGTGTGGCTCAGTTGGAAGCCATCACTTAGCCTGTGTGGCTCAGTTGGAAGCCATCACTTAGCCTGTGTGGCTCAGTTGGAAGCCATCACTTAGCCTGTGTGGCTCAGTTGGAAGCCATCACTTAGCCTGTGTGGCTCAGTTGGAAGCCATCACTTAGCCTGTGTGGCTCAGTTGGAAGCCATCACTTAGCCTGTGTGGCTCAGTTGGAAGCCATCACTTAGCCTGTTTGGCTCAGTTGATAGGAGTGTGGCTTGAGCAAGGCCAAGGTCAAGTGGTTAAATTCCCTCAGGGATCACACACACACTCAAACTCCCTTCCAATGACTATCAGCCCAACATAGCTGTTACGCCAAGAGATCCGAACCCCTTGACGGGGTCGCTAGATGTTGAGTTAAGGTCGCTATAGTCGGAGTCCATGTTTCTTCTGCCTTCACAAATAAAGATGGAGGGCGCCACTTTTAGACTATTGAGAAAATAAAGCCGGCCTATTAAATTCTGTGCAGGAACACTTATGGTTTTGATTCTGTCCTTCAAAATCATTGCTATCAAACTATCAGGGAGAAAGGAAAACCAGCAGTACAGTTTATCCCTTTATGGGCCGGTAGTTGAATAGCCCTGCAGAAGAAACCACTTAATAGTGACGGCCTGTACTAAAAAGTCCTGGGTTGGTAATGTCCTCAATGGCACACTCTTCCCTATATAGTCCCCAATGGGACCCTATTCTCTATATAGTCCCAAATGGGACCCTGTTCCCTATATAGTACCAAACGGAACCCTATTCTCTGTATTTGGACAATAGGGTGCCATTTGGGACGAATCCCGTGCAGGGTTCCTCACCATCATTGTTTGAGTCCATCTGTCTGAAGATCTTGTCTGTCCTCTTCTCAGGCGTGGACTCGTCCTCTGGCATCTTCATGACAGAGGACACCATTTTGTAGATGGCCTAGGGAGATGGCACATAGATGGATAGAAAGAGGACCATAGGGGTAGAGAGTTAAAGCTATTTAATTGAAACAATAACAAAGCAGACACCCCGCCTCTGTTTTGTTAAAAAGCTGAAGGATGTATACGTACAGTATAACCCCTCAAATTCATAGAGCTATGGATAACAGGACTGACCGGAAATTATAGTTTTAACCATGTTTTGTTTACATTTGTATTGTTTACAAACATTGGAGTAAAACAAGCTGATATTTAGGATCTGATGGGGTACGACAGTTGGACTAAGCTCATGAGTAGGGGCCATGCTTTTTGATGCACTTTTTGTGGCACAGTGATTTTACCGTTATTTCTAGCATTATCCACTAGTGTTGCTGCAGGCAGAAAATCCTAGGAAATGTTCTATAATTGACACAAGCTGTCTCCAATCAATCAATGTCTGGTTGTGTGTGTGTGTGTGTATTTGGTGGGGGGGGATTGCCTAAACCAAGTTTTCAATATATATAACTTTCAAAACACAGAAAGTGTCACAGTATGATGCGTTTTGCGTCATATGACTTCTTGACGAGCTCGCTAGATGTTGGCTTGACCTTTTTATTCCAGTGGGCTAAATCAGGGTCACAAAGTGTTCCTTGGTAGTCTTAAACAAATCAACAGTTGTGGTCAAAAGTTTTGAGAATGACACAAGTATTGGTCTTCACAAAGTTTGCTGCTTCAGTGTTTTTAGATATTTTTGTCAGATGTTACTATGGTATACTGAAGTATAATTACAAGCATTCCGTAAGTGTCAAAGGCTTTTATTGACAATTACATTAAGTTTATGCAGAGTCAATATTTGCAGTGTTGACCCTTCTTTTTCAAGACCTCTGCAATCCGTCCTGGCATACTGTCAATTAACTTCTGGGCCACATCCTGACTGATGGCAGCCAATTCTTGCATAATCAATGCTTGGAGTTTGTCAGAATTTGTGGGTTTTTGTTTGTCCACCCGCCTCTTGAGGATCAACCACAAGTTCTCAGTGGGATTAAGGTCTGGGGAGTTTCCTGGCCATGGACCCAAAATGTCGATGTTTTGTTCCCCGAGCCACTTAGTTATCACTTTTGCCTTATGGCAAGGTGCTCCATCATGCTGGAAAAGGCATTGGTCGTCACCAAACTGTTCTTGGATGGTTGGGAGAAGTTGCTCTCGGAGGATGTGTTGGTACCATTTTTTTATTCATGGCTGTGTTCTTAGGCAAAATTGTGAGTGAGCCCACTCCCTTGGCTGAGAAGCAACCCCACACATGAATGGTCTCAGGATGCTTTACTGTTGGCATGACACAGGACTGATGGTAGCGCTCACCTTGTCTTCTCCGGACAACCTTTTTTCCGGATGCCCCAAACAATCGGAAAGGTGATTCATCAGAGAAAATGACTATCCCAGTCCTCAACAGTCCAATCCTTGTACCTTTTGTAGAATATCAGTCTGTCCCCGATGTTTTTCCTGGAGAGAAGTGGCTTCCTCGCTACACTTCTTGACACCAGGCCATCCACCAAAAGTCTTCGCCTCACTGTGCAAAATGTTTTTGGGGGATTTTCATTTTCATGGCAAAGAGGGACTTTGCAATTAGTTGCAATTCATCTGATCACTGTTCATAACATTCTGGAGTATATGCAAATTGCCATCATAAAAACTGAGGCAGCAGACTTTGTGGAAATTAATATTTGTGTCATTCTCAAAACTTTTGACCACGACTGTACTAAAGAAAAGTACACACCTCACACACATGGTTATGGTCTTTAAAAAACGAAGACACCTGTACCATTACAGATATAGAGTTGAAATGTATTACCTTTTTGAGTTTGCATCCCAATATTGCACTTTATACCCATCACAGAAGACTGAAATATAACAAAATGCGCCATCCCACTTCTGACACCAATGTAGTGAATTCGGGTAGAAGCCCCAAATGGGACTCGAACCCGGATCCCACGTCTGTCAAGCCAACACCTTAACAGTTACGCTAAGAGGTTCGTAGTAGAGACTGTACATTCACACAGTAAATCCAAAACTGGATGTAGCAACTGCAGATTCTAGCTTTAAGGTGGATAAATGAGGGATACATTGATTAGCACTGTGTCTTCTTACTATGTGATAGATGCTGTGTTTTGACGCTTCTGTGTTGGTGTGAATGCTCTGCAGTCTATTAGCTTCCACAAGAATGAGTCATTTCTATAATCCATAGGTCATTGTGTTGATTTTAGAACCAGCTGCTGCTAAATTATTCTCCAGCACTCAAAAGACCTGGTTTGGTCAACAGAAATTCAAGAGAATAGAGAAGTGAACACATTCCAAGAGAGGAAGGGGAAGATGTTGATTCTAAATTCAGTCATACAATGCTCTAGTCTACAGTGTGACATTAAAATCTTAGTGTGTTTTTAGGCCCTTGAAGTCCATAAAATAAAATACAAATGGATACAGGCATTGAAATGACGTCACACCCTAAAGTATAACGATGCTACAATACACCGGTGGAACATAGGTGCTCGAGACTGACCTGTACGATCTCCAGCATCTCCGCGCGGCTGATGTAGCCGTTCCCGTCCAGGTCGTACATGCTGAAGGCCCACTTGAGCTTCTGTTCCAGCTTGCCGCGCGACGTAACGCTCAGCGCGATGATGAACTCCCGGAAGTCTATCGTCCCGTCTGCGTTGGTGTCAAACGTGCGGAAGACGTGCTCTGAAAATTTGGAGGCGTCACCGTAAGGGAAGAAGTTGGCGTAGATCTTCTTGAACTCTTCCACAGTCAGGTGGCCCATGGGGCAGTCTTTGAGGAAGCCTCGGTACCACTCCTGGAGCTCGTGGTCGGTGAACTCTGTGTTCTCGCGCAGGTCGTTAAGCACCTCCGGCCGTAGCTTGCTGTTCTGTTTTCCCATGGCTTAGGCAGCCCCTCCTCTTGACCAGTTGCTGTTTCTTTTGACGTTTTCTTATTTTTCTTTCAAAGTCTTGCGTTTTCCTCCACTCTGCTGCTGAATTCTTATTCCTGCAGGGGAATGGGCAGGGGGGTTGACCGAGGATATAGCCTATAGAGACAGAGAAGGACAGAGAGAGAACCTGGTAGTAGGGGTAGGTACAGTAGTTATCTTTAAAAAAATATATATATATATATTTTAGAAGTCTAGGATCCAGAGTGTTTGGAAAGAACCCATGACAACGTCTGGCCAACTCTGCGGTAGCATCTGCTTGCGTGAATGAGTTATGATGTCATACATGTCTAATTGATCAACAGCACTGCCACAAGCCATCAACAGCACTGCCACAAGCCATCAACAGCACTTCCGCAAGCTTAGTTCTCAATCAATGAAAACTAAGCAGAAGAACTGCAGTCTTCAATAGTGGTATAATCTGAAATGAGTCGACTTATATCTTGAAAACTTCACTGCTGACATACTGCACAGGTTTTTGGGATTGTATTAACATTGGTGTAATGAACAAAATGTAAAAATATCGTTTTTGAGTTAACTATCCCTTTAAAGGTAGTGTAAACATTCTCAAATGAAACAAACAAGAGGTTACCAAGGCAACGAGCAGTTCAAAATATGAAACTCCAGCTATCCGTAATGAAATACAATGAGATCTACATTCATAGATAATTGGCTTCATGCATCTGATGGAAAATCTTCTACAAGACATAAATTAGCTGGTAAATCCTGACTAATTTGCCAATTAATTTGTCAATTAGGAGATGAAAACTTCACATGGAGCACATATTTATTAGCCATCTTTATTAACGTTCAAGAAAAATGAATACATCATAAGAATGTTTTAAAATGATGTCTAAATGGATTTTAAAAATGACTGTCTACATGGATTGTCGTGGAAATTCACTCAGCATATTTATACTATCGCTACGGGTTACACAAAGATAGCCAAGTGCATCCTTTTTCATTAAAGCGTTTGCTCCCAGAGACCAGCTGCAGAGGAGGAGAACACCTGGCAACAACAGTCTGGGCGTTCAGCCAATATTTCCACTCCCGCTGAGCCGACCTTCTGAGAGCAAACCTCAGACACCCTGTCGGACTACAACAGGCACATTTCTAAGTACGCAACAGGTCAAACATGTATGATAAGTGTGAGACACTGAAAAAGCAGAAAGAGACACAGTACAATTCCACTACAGGATTTTCTAAATGACTATGTCTGAATGGATTTTCAAAATGACTATGTCTGAATGGATTTTCAAAAAAATGACTATTCCTAAAAGGATTTTCAAAATGACTATTCCTAAATGGATTTTCAAAATGACTATTCCTAAATGGATTTTCAAAATGACTATGTCTGAATGGATTTTCAAAATGACTATTCCTAAATGGATTTTCAATACGTGTGTGATTTTCCATTGTCGTGAGTGTAGCTATGCACACTGATGTTGAGTGTATTAGTTGTGTGTATGCCGTTTTGAGTGTCTTATAATCCATTAATTAATAAAACTGCATTAAGATTAATAAGAAATGACTACCATCTTCTATTAAAAACAATTGCTAGTTTCAGATGAACTACAGAAGGATGGATGGTACCATAGAGGACATGATGATCTACAGGAGGATGGAAGGTACCATAGAGGACATGATGATCTACAGGAGGATGGAAGGTACTATAGAGGACATGATGAACTACAGGAGGATGGAAGGTACTATAGAGGACATGATGATCTACAGGAGGATGGAAGGTACCATAGAGGACATGATGAACTACAGGAGGATGGAAGGTACCATAGAGGACATGATGAACTACAGGAGGATGGAAGGTACCATAGAGGACATGATGAACTACAGGAGGATGGAAGGTACTATAGAGGACATGATGATCTACAGGAGGATGGAAGGTACCATAGAGGACATGATGAACTACAGGAGGATGGAAGGTACTATAGAGGACATGATGAACTACAGGAGGATGGAAGGTACAGTACCATAAGGACATGATGATCTACAGGAGGATGGAAGGTACCATAGAGGACATGATGAACTACAGGAGGATGGAAGGTACCATAGAGGACATGATGATCTACAGGAGGATGGAAGGTACCATAGAGGACATGATGAACTACAGGAGGATGGAAGGTACCATAGAGGACATGATGAACTACAGGAGGATGGAAGGTACTATAGAGGACATGATGATCTACAGGAGGATGGAAGGTACCATAGAGGACATGATGAACTACAGGAGGATGGAAGGTACTATAGAGGACATGATGAACTACAGGAGGATGGAAGGTACCATAGAGGACATGATGAACTACAGGAGGATGGAAGGTACCATAGAGGACATGATGAACTACAGGAGGATGGAAGGTACTATAGAGGACATGATGAACTACAGGAGGATGGAAGGTACCATAGAGGACATGATGAACTACAGGAGGATGGAAGGTACCATAGAGGACATGATGAACTACAGGAGGATGGAAGGTACCATAGAGGACATGATGAACTACAGGAGGATGGATGCTACAGTGGCTTGCTAAAGTATTCACCCCCCTTGGCAATTTTCCTATTTTGTTGCCTTACAACCTGGCATTAAAAATGGATTTTGGGGGGGTTTGTATCATTTGATTTACACAACATGCCTACCACTTTGAAGATGCAAAATATTTGTTCTTGTGAAACAAACAAGAAATAAGAAAACTTGAGCGTACATAACTAGCAAGTGTCTTCACTGACATTTTCAAACTCTCCCTATCTGAGTCTGTAATACCAATATGTTTCAAGCAGGCCACCGTAGTCCCTGTGTCCAAGAACACTAAAGTAACCTGCCTAAATGACTACCGACCCGTAGCACTCACATCTGTAGCCATGAAGTGCTTTGAAAGGCTGTTCTTGGCTCACATCAACACCATTATCCCAGAAACCCTAGACCCACTCCAATTTGCATACCGCCCCAACAGATCCACAGATGATGCAATCTCTATTGCACTCCACACTTCCCTTTCAAACCTGGACTAAAGGAACACTTATGTGAGAATGCAGACTAAAGCTCAGCGTTTAACACCATAGTGCACTCTAAGGTCATCACTAAGGTAAGGACCCTGGGACTAAACACCTCCCTCTGCAACTGGATCCTGGACTTCCTGACGGGCCGCCCCCAGGTGGTAAGGGTAGGTAACAACACATCCGCCACGCTGATCCTCAACACGGGGGCCCCTCAGGGGTGCGTGCTCAGTCCCCTCCTGTACTCCCTGTTCACTCATGACTGCATGGCCAGGCACGACTCCAACACCATCATTAAGTTTGCACCCCCCTCCACTGTTATTTTACTGCTGCTCTTTAAGTATTTGTTACTTTTATTTCTTATTTTTTAGGTATTATTTCTTAAAACTGCGTTGTATTCACCTGCTGTATTCGGGTCATATGACAAAATACTTTTGTTTTGACCTGAGCTCAATTTCGAATCTCATAGCAAAGGGTCTGAATACTTATGTAAATAAGGTATTTATGTTTTTTATTGTAATAAATCTGCAAGGATTTCGATAAATCTGTTTTTGCTTTGTCATTATGGGGTATAGTGTGTAGATTGATGTGTCTTTTTTAATCCAGTTTAGAATAAGGCTGTAACGTAACAAAATGTGGAACAAGTCAAGGGGTCTGAATACTTTCCGAATGCATTGTATGTCCGCTATGTTGTTCTATATGAATCCAATTGCCTTTTTGACTCCAACCCTTTTGATTTGAACCCCAAAAATAATTATACATGTTTGTCATGTGGAACGCTCTTGTGGCTAGCCTCATTATGACAGTCATCAATCCTGTCTGCCCAAAATATTCCCTCTCCTGGGAATGCTTCATCCAAGCCAGGGCTGGTCAATTACGGTTCTGAAGGGCCAAAACACTTCTGTTTTTTGTTTCTACGTGGTAGTTATTGGCACTCACCTGTCCCAGGTCTGAATCAATCCCTGATCAGAAGAGGATGAAAACCAGAAGTGATTCTGCCCTCCAAGACCGACATTGAACAGCCCTGTCCTAGCTTTTCAAATCTAGGCCCCGATCAGTCCTGATCTCCCTCACTTACTCAATCATTCTATTTGCCCTGCGAATATAGTGCAACAATATGTGCACCCTTCTGCTCTCCTGGCTCGGCTGGGTATTGTGTTGGCAGGTGCTTGACACCCCCTGGCTTGGCTGTGTATTGTGTTGGCAGGTGCTTAGCACCCCCTGGCTCGGGTCCCGGTGAGCCCTTAGTGTGACGGTACAACAGCTGGCACGATGCCGTCACAGCCAGGGGGCCTTCTGGGACTTCCCTGGGTGGTTTTCTGAGGACTGCTGCACTCACTTCCGCATAAGCACAAACTGGTTGAATCAATGTGTTTCCACGTAATTTCAACAGAAAATTATGACGTTATGGAAAACATCGGTGTGCATAGCTATATTGTGGAAAACTGGAAAACGGATTGGATTTGCAAAAAGTCATCAATGTAAAGGAATTTGGCAAATGTGTCTTTTTTTAATCCAACTTTTAATCTAAATCCAATGACATGGTTACATTTCTTGTTGATTTCATGTTGAATTTTTGGCTGAAAACGCAATCTGCTGTAAATCAAAACTAGATATTTGTCACGCCCTGGCTCTGGGGACTCTTAAATGTTGAGCCAGGGTGTGGAGTTTCTATGTCATATTTTCTATGTTGTGTTTTCTAGATCGTGTTGATCTATGTTGGCCAGGGTGGTTCCCAATCAGAGGCAGCTGTATCTCATTGTCTCTGATTGGGGACCATACTTAGGCAGCCTGTTTGGCACTAGTCGGTGTGGGATCTTGTTCCGTTAAGGTTTGTTGTGTGTAACCTAGGACTTCACGTTTCGTTTGTTTGTTGTTTTGTCGTGAGTTAAGTACGTAATAAAATGTATGCTTATCACGCTGCGCCTTGGTCCGTCTCATCA